AGAAGAAAGGAAGGAATTTAGGAAGGAAAGAAAGAAAGAAGAAAGGAAGGAATTTAGGAAGGAAAAAGAAAGAAAGAAGAAAGGAAGGAATTTAGGAAGGAAAGAAAGAAAGAAGAAAGGAAGGAATTTAGGAAGGAAAGAAAGAAAGAAGAAAGGAAGGAATTTAGGAAGGAAGGAAAGAAAGAAGAAAGGAAGGAATTTAGGGAAGCAATAACAAAAGGAAAGAAAGAAGAAAAAGAAAGAAAGAAGAAAGGAAGGAATTTAGGAAGGAAAGAAAGAAGAAAGGAAGGAATTTAGGAAGGAAAGAAAGAAGAAAGGAAGGAATTTAGGAAGGAAAGAAAGAAGAAAGGAAGGAATTTAGGAAGGAAAGAAAGAAAGAAGAAAGGAAGGAATTTAGGAAGGAAAGAAAGAAGAAAGGAAGGAATTTAGGAAGGAAAGAAAGAAAGAAGAAAGGAAGGAATTTAGGAAGGAAAGAAAGAAGAAAGGAAGGAATTTAGGAAGGAAGGAAAAAGAAAGAAGAAAGGAAGGAATTTAGGAAGGAAAAAGAAAGAAAGAAGAAAGGAAGGAATTTAGGAAGGAAAGAAAGAAAGAAGAAAGGAAGGAATTTAGGAAGGAAAGAAAGAAGAAAGAAAGGAAGATTTAGGGAAGGGAAAGAAAGAAAGAAGAAAGGAAAGGAATTTAGGAAGGAAAGAAAAGAAGAAAGGAAGGAATTTAGGAAGGAAAGAAAGAAAAGAAGAAAGGAAGGAATTTAGGAAGGAAAGAAAGAAGAAAGGAAGGAATTTAGGAAGGAAAGAAAGAAAGAAGAAAGGAAGGAATTTAGGAAGGAAAGAAAGAAAGAAGAAAGGAAGGAATTTAGGGAAGGAAAGAAAGAAGAAAGGAAGGAATTTAGGAAGGAAAGAAAGAAAGAAGAAAGGAAGGAATTTAGGAAGGAAAGAAAGAAAGAAGAAAGGAAGGAATTTAGGAAGGAAAGAAAGAAAGAAGAAAGGAAGGAATTTAGGAAGGAAAGAAAGAAAGAAGAAAGGAAGGAATTTAGGAAGGAAAGAAAGAAGAAAGGAAGGAATTTAGGAAGGAAAGAAAGAAAGAAGAAAGGAAGGAATTTAGGAAGGAAAGAAAGAAAGAAGAAAGGAAGGAATTTAGGAAGGAAAGAAAGAAGAAAGGAAGGAATTTAGGAAGGAAAGAAAGAAAGAAGAAAGGAAGGAATTTAGGAAGGAAAGAAAGAAAGAAGAAAGGAAGGAATTTAGGAAGGAAAGAAAGAAAGAAGAAAGGAAGGAATTTAGGAAGGAAAGAAAAGAAAGAAGAAAGGAAGGAATTTAGGAAGGAAAAAGAAAGAAAGAAGAAAGGAAGGAATTTAGGAAGGAAAGAAAGAAGAAAGGAAGGAATTTAGGAAGGAAAGAAAGAAAGAAGAAAGGAAGGAATTTAGGAAGGAAAGAAAGAAAGAAGAAAGGAAGGAATTTAGGGAAGGAAAGAAAGAAAGAAGAAAAGGAAGGAATTTAGGAAGGAAAGAAAGAAGAAAGGAAGGAATTTAGGAAGGAAAGAAAGAAAGAAGAAAGGAAGGAATTTAGGAAGGAAAGAAAGAAAGAAGAAAGGAAGGAATTTAGGAAGGAAAGAAAGAAAGAAGAAAGGAAGGAATTTAGGAAGGAAAGAAAGAAGAAAGGAAGGAATTTAGGAAGGAAAGAAAGAAAGAAGAAAGGAAGGAATTTAGGAAGGAAAGAAAAAGAAGAAAGGAAGGAATTTAGGAAGGAAAGAAAGAAGAAAAGGAAGGAATTTAGGAAGGAAGAAAAGAAAGAAGAAAGGAAGGAATTTAGGAAAGAAAGAAAGAAGAAAGGAAGGAATTTAGGGAAGGAAAGAAAGAAGAAAGGAAGGAATTTAGGAAGGAAAAGAAAGAAGAAAGGAAGGAATTTAGGAAGGAAAGAAAGAAAGAAGAAAGGAAGGAATTTAGGAAGGAAAGAAAGAAGAAAAGGAAGGAATTTAGGAAGGAAAGAAAGAAAGAAGAAAGGAAGGAATTTAGGAAGGAAAGAAAGAAAGAAGAAAGGAAGGAATTTAGGAAGGAAAGAAAAAGAAAAGGAAGGAAAGGAAGGAAAGGAAGGAAAGAAAGAAAGAAGAAAGGAAGGAATTTAGGAAGGAAAGAAAGAAGAAAGGAAGGAATTTAGAAAGGAAAGAAAGAAAAGAAGAAAGGAAGGAATTTAGGAAGGAAAAGAAAGAAAGAAGAAAGGAAGGAATTTAGGAAGGAAAAAGAAAGAAAGAAGAAAGGAAAGAAATTTAGGAAGGAAAGAAAAGAAGAAAAGGAAGGAATTTAGGAAGGAAAGAAAGAAAGAAGAAAGGAAGGAATTTAGGAAGGAAAGAAAGAAAGAAGAAAGGAAGGAATTTAGGAAGGAAAGAAAGAAAGAAGAAAGGAAGGAATTTAGGAAGGAAAGAAAGAAAGAAGAAAGGAAGGAATTTAGGGAAGGAAAAGAAAGAAGAAAGGAAGGAATTTAGGAAGGAAAGAAAGAAAGAAGAAAGGAAGGAATTTAGGAAGGAAAGAAAGAAAGAAGAAAGGAAGGAATTTAGGAAGGAAAAAGAAAGAAAGAAGAAAGGAAGGAATTTAGGAAGGAAAGAAAAGAAGAAAGGAAGGAATTTAGGAAGGAAAGAAAGAAAGAAGAAAGGAAGGAATTTAGGAAGGAAAGAAAGAAAGAAGAAAGGAAGGAATTTAGGAAGGAAAGAAAAGAAAGAAGAAAGGAAGGAATTTAGGAAGGAAAGAAAGAAGAAAGGAAGGAATTTAGGAAGGAAAGAAAGAAAGAAGAAAGGAAGGAATTTAGGAAGGAAAGAAAGAAGAAAGGAAGGAATTTAGGAAGGAAAGAAAGAAAGAAGAAAGGAAGGAATTTAGGAAGGAAAGAAAGAAAGAAGAAAGGAAGGAATTTAGGAAGGAAAGAAAGAAGAAAGGAAGGAATTTAGGAAGGAAAGAAAAGAAAGAAGAAAGGAAGGAATTTAGGAAGGAAAGAAAAAAAAGAAGAAAGGAAGGAATTTAGGAAGGAAAGAAAGAAAGAAGAAAGGAAGGAATTTAGGAAGGAAAGAAAGAAGAAAGGAAGGAATTTAGGAAGGAAAGAAAGAAAGAAGAAAGGAAGGAATTTAGGAAGGAAAGAAAGAAAGAAGAAAAGGAAGGAATTTAGGAAGGAAAGAAAGAAAGAAAGAAGAAAGGAAGGAATTTAGGAAGGAAAGAAAGAAGAAAGGAAGGAATTTAGGAAGGAAAAGAAAGAAAGAAGAAAGGAAGGAATTTAGGAAGGAAAGAAAGAAAGAAGAAAGGAAGGAATTTAGGAAGGAAGGAAAGAAAGAAGAAAGACAGGAAGGAAGAAAAATTGCAAAAAACGAGAGGTGGTAATTTAAAACAAAAACAAAAAAAGTAGGATAATCTTGAAAACCCAAGAAAAGTAGAACGTGAAATAGCAAAGAAAAGTAAGGAAAAGAAGAAAACAATAAAGAATGATCAAAATTTAAAATGTGTAAAAGCTATGTGGAGAGAGAGAGAGAGAGGAAGAGTGAGTGATGAAGTAACGAAACCTGGAAAATACAAGAAAATAGACAAAGAAAAAGCGTAAAATTTATTTAAAATAGAAACAGACTGAGATGGCAAAGAAAGAAAAAAGAAAGAAGAAAGAAAGAAAAAGGAAAGAAAGAAAAGAAAGAAAAAAGAAAGAAGAAAGAAAGACAGAAGAAAGAAGAAAGAAAGACAGAAGAAAGAAGAAAGAAAGAAAAAAGAAAGAAAGACAGAAGAAAGAAAGAAAAAAGAAAGAAAGAAAAAAGAAAGAAAGAAAAAAGAAAGAAATAAAAAAAAAAAAAAAAAAAAAGAAAGAAAGAAAGAAAGAAAGAAAGAAAGAAAGAAAGAAAAAGAAAGAACGGGAAGATGGAAGGAAAATGCAATGTTCAGTAGTTGATAATAAATATGGCCGTTTAAAAAAAACAAACGGTCAAGTAAAACCGATTAAATTACTTGGAGGTTAGCAAGAGCGCATAAATTAACACAAGCACATCATCTAATAAAGACACGTCATAGTGTTTGGAGCAAAAGCTATAAACTTGTTTCAATGAAGAAAGGGATAAATTAGAAAAACAATGAGTGAAAAACTGGACCTGAGCAAAATTGGAAACCACAATTCAAATATGAAGCAATAAATCTTGTTACAAGTTGGAAAGTTAAAGATTTTTTTATTTGACACATTTTCTTGTATCTTTATCGCACGTTTAGGACCCTGAAAATGTGACTGAAGGGAAAAACCAAGGATCAGCCAATCCATCTCTAATATCAGTTAGAATACCAAGGAAAGTGCTGCAACATCCAAGTCTCTTACAATCATTTTGTCACCATTTTGTAGCTTTTTATGACTGCTTTGAAAAATTAAGAAAATGTAGAAAAAATGCTACAAATTGCCATTTATATTGAACAGAACCGATCTACGGTATGGATTTCGAACCTCAAATAAACCAATTCGTACAAACAAAGAAACGTGTATAATGATTTGTATTTTTTTAATTCTGGAAGAGGAGTTTAGAAGTGCAAGATTTAAAAAAAATAAATGGTAGTAATAACTACTTCCTAAGCGTAGCTTAAATGTGGCACAAGGCCGAAGTTATAGAGCACTCAGTGAAGATAAAACTTACTACACAGTTTCTATTGATCTATCAAGACAAGCTGGGTAAGCATTAAACCACGTCGGAGTACCCAAATCTTTTGGAAAGCGTAACTTAGATCTGGTGCAAGGCCGAAATTATGGAGCACTCTCTGGGGATCAAACTAACTACTCAGTTGCAATGGACCAAGTGAGAAAAGTTTGCAAATTATAACAACACGTCAAAATGGCTGTAATGATAAAAAACAAAACTATGTCGTCTTCGCACAGTACTCTACTAAATACAAATTCTTACTTAATCTACTTTCCTTAATCCTTAATCAGCCTGTGAGAGGCCTTGTCCAGATTATGGGGAGTAGTGAGCCATTACCTACCCCGCTGGCCTAATGCGTGTTGATAGGCGCTTACCTGATTTTCCCAAGCGAATAATCCTGTAGGTACTGAACAGGCTCAACGTTGCTTAACTTTGGTGATCGAACGAGAACCAGCGTTTCAGCGTGATATAACCGTACACAAACCCATTATCTATGTTTCCATTAAGTATGGGAGTTACAGATAGAAAAACAAAAGTAGAGGGTCATATCAAAGGTCCCCACTTACTCTGGCAGCACCGGTTGATATTGTGATTTTCTAAGCGTAGCATAGATGTGGCACAAGGCATAGAGTTTGGAGGACCCAATAAGGGTCGAACTCACTATTCAGTTGTACTTGATCAGCACCGGTTGATATGAACACGGATTTTGATCTCCGTCTGGCTTTGAAATTTAGCCGACGCGAGGTGGAAATTAACCAGAGATTTCCTTTTAACTAAAGCCTTGCATTTCTCTGCTGATACTTATTGAATTGAATTTATAACAAATAAGATGTTTCATATGATGTAGCCTACGTTAGTAGTTGATATGGCGAAAATCCGATTGCTATGTGAGATTTGTCCTCCTGTGCTAGACAAACTCCTCAACGATGAAGAAACTTAAAGCAACAAAAATGTAGTTCTACAGAACTATGCTGTAAATATCATAGACCGAACATGTGAGCAATGAGGAAGTTTGAGAGAAAAAAAAAAAACGAAAATTATACTTAACATCAGGGAGAGACAGATGTGGTTTCTGGAGCACATAATGAGGTAAGAGGGCTTGGAGAATCTGATGCTCACAGGACAGATTGAAGGCAAGAGAGACAGAGGTAAACATGTTTTTAATCAAGTTCACCCGATGCAAGGCAGTAAAGCCACTACGACACAAGGTGTTACTGGGTGTGGAAGAGTTAGAAAAGAGAAACATTACTAAAAAGCAGGAACAAAAAGAATAATCAGGAGAAAAGTAGATAGCGATTGACATTGCATTTAATTTTTTGAAGATTAAAGATGTCTGAAAAGCATGGAGCCGGAAACGAGGAGAGCGAGAAAAGAAACTGTTTGCATAGAACTTATGGCTGCCTCTAGCCTGCTCAACTGTACGTGGATGAGATCTCGTCACGAGTCTAATACTGCATTTAAATTCAAAATGTCCAAATACCATAGAGCTCGTCCGAATAATTAACATGAAATTATTTATAGAAAAGACACAGGGAGTCAATCTTACAGCGGAGAGAATATGGCTGAAGCCAACGGCCAGATCTGAACCGATAATATCAAACTGATTGGTCCTGTGATTTTATCAAGGAGCTCAAAGTAAATAGCAGGAGCACCGGTCCATAGGTGAGAGCAATTTGAACTTGAGTAGATGGATAGCAGAAAGAAACAAAATTTATTAAGAGATAAAAGGGAGAGGGAGAGCAATGATCATCTATGCCATGTGAGGACATGCCACATGAAGAGAGAGAGGGAATGGAAAGAGAGAGAAAGAGAGAGAGGGTGGAAAGAGAGAGAGAGGCGGTGGAAAGAGAGAGAGAGGGTTGGAAAGAGAGAGAGAAAGGGGGTGGAAAGAGAGAGAGGGGTGGAAAGAGAGAGAGGGGAAGGGGTGGAAAGAGAGAGTGAGAGAGGGGGTGGAAAAGAGAGAGAGAGGGGGTGGAAAGAGAGAGAGAGAGGGGTGGAAAAGAGAGAGAGGGTGGAAAAAGAGAGATCTATCGTAGTACCTTTGCCATGTAACGTTCCCTCTAATTTAGTCTTACATGTTGCCAATAGGTCGTTTGGTTGAATTTTGTTGCTTGGACCATTTCAAATAAATTTATCGATAATGATATTGAATTCTTTTATTTTAATTACATCTTTATTTTCTTAATGCATAAATGATATATTTAATGGTGACCAATAATGGACGGGTAAAAGGGCGTGCTAAAATGTTTGGAAGCACAATACTTCACTTATTCCGGGCATTTTCAATCCACGTGATTCTGGTGAATGTGCTGGTCGCGTTTATGTCGTGGCTTTATAGTACAATATTTGATAGTCGATTTATTCTACGCTCTTGTGGGTAAAAGGTGCTTTAAATGAGAACAATGAGTCGGAAGTGGAATCCCATAGCAGCAGCGTTTGTACCGGTTGTAAAACATTGGGATATAAAACAACAGAAAAGTAGAAGATGGCTTCTATGACATTTATTTCATCTTAACTTATGTCACTGACCTAAATCATGTTAGATTTTGTGACGATAATACGCTACTGAAAATAAATGGAATAGTATCATTGGAAAAACAAAGGTAAAAGAAAAACTTTCTTTCTTTTCCCTCTCCTCTTTCCTCCCCGCATCTCTCTAACTCTCATATATATATATATATATATATATATATATATATATATATATATATATATATATGAATGGATAATGTTTTTCAAGGTGTGACCGCAAACTCTATGCCTGACATTGAACACTTTTACCCATAAATAGCATAACTTAAAATATATTTTCAAATTTGTTCAAATTTAAATTTCATATATATCAAAGGGGAAAAAAATTAGTTGTGTTGGGGGTTCTTCTCAGGGACCCCCTTTATCAAAATGAAATATACTTATCCAAGTAACCTGCCTAATGTAGTTTCAGTATATATATGGTTATGGGGATTCTATCTTCAAAACCCTACGAGGAGTTTGATAACAGACAGGCTACCACTTGGATTGGATTTCTCTGTATCCTTGGAAACAGTGAATTGTGAATTTTTGTGTGCGTTTAAAACTCAGTAAATTTAAAAAAAAAAAAAAAGTTACTCCAATATTCGCTTGAAGATGAAATGGAACTAATGGAATTAATTACAAAATTAAATTTGAAGTTTTTAGCTTCCATTTTTGAAACATGGTTATTACTGTGTAGCGAAAACCATATTTTAAACCAGTTAATTTATAATATGTATGCTCTGTAAATTTAAAGATATATAATCCGATGTTCTTATTTTTATTTTTTTATTTTTGCAAAACAGTGCTCAATGTAAACAATTTATGGGTAAAAGTGTTCAATGTCAGGCATAGAGTTTGCGGTCACATATATATATATATATATATATATATATATATATATATATATATTTCGCTCGCTCTCTCTCTCACATACACACACACATATATATATATATATATATATATATATATATAGAGAGAGAGAGAGAGAGAGTTGTGTCTGTGTTTGTGTCAGTGTGTGGTAAAAATCACAGACAATTTGGAAAAAGTATTTATTTTAACGTTTCGCTGATCAAAGAACGTAATAAATAAATCGGATTTTATTTCAACTAATTCTACATTAGAGAAACAGAGCGTGATTTGCGCTATTCATATGTGGTTTGATATTTCAGCTTAAATGTATCATTTTGGAAATCAGATTTTAAAAATTTCAACTCAATTTTTGTGGAGACATTCATTTGTTATAACTTTTTCGTATCTCACATTTTTCAATATCAATTCAGTGAGATCAGACTTTAGAATGAATTAACATGGCCGTATATCATATATTAATATAGAAGCTGTATGTCGTCGGAACATTCGGGATCAAATTTTGCTCTGGAAAATGATGTATTTAAAAAATGAATACAATTTACTCGGACGAATTTGCATCGAAAATATTAGGATCTACGTGGGTAACAAATAACTGCGGTTGAGAAATCAGTTTGCCTCGTAGATTGAGTTGAAGAAAATTCGTTTTTGATGATGCTTTTTTGTCGGCGAACCATGCCAATTTATCAAAGTCGTCATATATAAATATCGATCATTTTATTACATTCTCATGCAAACTCATACTGAAAGAAAATGATATGAACACCACCCAGACCCGGTTACGGAGATAGGACCTGTTACAATTCTATGGGACTACACAATACACACTGACAGAACAATCAAAGCCAACCGCCCAGATATTGTTATTAAAGACCACAAACAAACAAAAAAAGTGCCTCCTTATTGATATGGCAGTCCCTGCTGACTGGCAATGTATTTGAAGATATTCAAAAGCTGTCAAAATACAAGGACTTTGAAATAGAAATCTCGAAAATGTGGCATATGGGAACATCAACAATGCCTGTTGTAGTTGGAGCCCTAGGACTGGTTGGAAAAGATTGCAGTAGACTAATTGAAGGGATTCCTGGAAGCCCATGCCTCAGGGAGATACAAAAAATTGTTCTGACAAGTACAGCCCACACTTTACGAAGGGCTTTATCTATGTAATTTTTTTTTTTTGTCTGTGGAAAGTGTCATGATGCCATTCCTAACCTTAGATCCCTGGGCGGGACCCGGAAAGAAATATGTAAACGTAAGAAATCAAAGGAAATAAAAATAACGATAATAGCTGACCACACGTATTCGAGAATACCCGTCTACTAGTGTGACTACCCAGTTCCTAATTAATACGCTCGCTCAGGTGCATTTGTGTTTATTCAACACCCACACAGCCCACCTGCAACTATGCTGAGCAGACCTTAGTTACAGTTTCTGAGACAGAGCGTATTAACTAGCGTAACCAACAATCGGTCACGATGACTTGTTACTTCGTGCTAGCACAGCTATTGACTATCCACCAAGTGTTCCGTCTACCCAATTTCACCAACAAGGCTTGGGTAAACATGACATTATATATATATATATATATATATATATATATATATATATATATGTATATATATATATATATATATATATATATATGCCGTTGAATATTTAAACTAGTATATCTACGAGACACTAGTATATCATTTCAATGGGGCCTCACAGTATGTTTTGATATAATGATATAATAATATTATATTTAAATATTATATTTAAATATAATAACTCAACATGAAAATTGTTTTGGCATGATACACATTCTTGAGCAATTAATGTAAGATACTATGTATATTTCATTATATATATATATATATATATATATATATATATATATATATATATATATATATATATATATATATATATATATATATATATATATATATATATATATATATATATTATGTATATATAAGATATTATGTATATTTCTGTGTAAGATATATGTATATATATATATATATATATATATATATATATATATATATATATTTATATATTATATATATTATGTGTAAGATATTATGTATATTTATATATATATAGAT